ACATATATACATATGTATATATACAAAGTCATGATATCTATACATACATATATATATATATACATACAGAGAGAGAGAAAGTATATATATATGTATATGTATATGTATATGTATATATATATGTATATATATGTATATATATGTATATATATGTATATATATATATACCTGATGTGCCCCCCAGCTACGCAAAGCCGCTGGCCGTGCACATGTCGTTATATCGCAAGCCACCATAAGAAAGGTCCATCTTGAAAGATGGAAAGCCCGACAACTTCATAGAACGTGTCACATTAGCCTCACCAGCAAAGAACTCCCCGAACCGGTAAGCCTCAGCTGCACTTTGCATGCAGGAGAGGCTACATGTGGCAGATGCTCTTGAAGCTACCCGCCATTTTCTTGCAGCCAATGGGGCGAAGCTGGCATCGATGCTTCGGATGTGCAGCAGCAGGAGGATGCAAACACAAAGAACCTCGGCTTCCCAACATCGTCTAGCAAAGCCCTGACGAACCCTGAGCCAGTACATGACAAAACTTCAATCAGGTCACACAGGGTACATTGCCACAGTAGAGCCGACGAGCCAAGATTGTAGGATCCCAACGATCTGATGGGCCATCCATGGCTATGCAGACACCCCAAGCCTGAAATCATGCATGCCTCGTACAACCCGTGCATAGTGCACCATCACATGTGTATAGACACAAAGTCCTGAGCCATTTCTGCTCGCGAAATGCATCAGGGCATTCAGGCAGAAGTGACAGATTTGGCTGTGTCTGTGTGCATCTTCAGATTGTCCACACCTATGGATAGAAAAGAGAACCGTTGTGCACCATTGCTCCGGTGCTATGCACTGATAACATGTGACACATGTACGACTCAAACAAGTGGGCTCTGAAGTAAGTATGACATATACGATGTAGATCTTTATGCCACTGAACATCAGACAGAAGCTGCAAGCAGCCCACCTTCGATTTCAGGACTTGAGTCCTCCTGCAGGCGCTTCGTGCCGCGTGGCATTACAGGCCTGGGCCACAAATGTGAATGTTTACAACTTGAGAGGAGGCATCAGTGGCTGAGGAAGTCTGAATGCAGGTCTTTTGGAGCACTGGATACTCTTCTTACCGTTTTCCTTAGATCCTATTGTCCTGCAGACTATTATCCAGGAATATCTCGCTAGATTCTGGCACACTAATTTGCACGATGTATTTACTCTTTACATGTATATTTATTTTCTATAAGCACATACACTTGCAATATCCGGTGAACATCATTATGTCCCAGAACATCAGACAGATGCTGCAAGCAAGCCACCTTGGTTTTCAGGACTTGAGTCCTGCCGTCGCTTCGCACCACATGGCATGGCAGGCCTGGGTCACAAATGTGAGGGTTAAGAACTGCAGAGGATCATCCCTGGTTGAGGGGGTCTGAATGCAGGTGTTGTGCAACACTGGATTCTCTTTTGAATGCGCACACACTGCTGCAATCATGGCCCTCCCAGATGACACAACTCTATGAGCTGCTCTATGGCCGCTGGTGAGTCGTCGTCACAAGCAGACACCCCACAGCATCAGATTGTGCACAATCCCATTGAGAGTGTTCTCACTCCCACAAAATTACACCGACAGACATGTCGGTCCATCCCTAGACACGCCCCTCACACTCGCGCTCCAGCTGCAAGGTCAGATCCCGGATTCGATGCATGTGGTCTTGGCGAACATGCTCCATGCCGGATCTCTGCATCAGATCAGCCTTAATTGAGAAGGCCACACCACTCTGGAAGTAGTTATGTAGTTGTTCTTTCTCTCTCTCTCTCTCTCTCTCTCTCTCTCTCTCTTTCTCTCCCCCCATACTTTGCCTCTTCGGGGGTGTCTTCTGCTTGAAGAAAGACAACATAAATGGGTAGACAGATTCCTCATGTGGTGGATATATATATATATGTATGTATATTATATAGGTGTATATCTATATATATATACATATATATATATATTTACAGACCTCTATATATATATGTATATATATATGTAGATATATATATATATATATCCACCACTTGAGGAACCTGCCTACACACCTTCACATAGAAGTGGCTGTTCAGGGGCATTGTTTTAATATGGGCATTTAACCTGCCTTGGTGTACCATTGTTACTTTGATCTGTGCATTCCAGGATGAAAACACATTCGCAGTACACACCTGTACTTGGTCCAGACATTCACTCAACCCTAGATGATGCAAACATGTTACACCAGCTGTGTGTGTGTGTATGTGCATGTATAACAAGCTGACACCCAACCAATCATGCGATTACCTATGTATAGAGATGCATGCATGCATACGAAAGGTGACTATTCACCGGATTTACAAGGATTGCACGGTCAAGAGCTCCCATAGTTTCATGTGTGTTTTAGCCTTTAGGAGTAAAGCATATATATATGTATATATATATATGTATATATATATATATAGAGTATATGTTTTTGGGTATACACACACACTCTCTCTGTCTTTGTTCACCAAATTGAAAAGATGAGTTGTACAAGCCAAACAATAAGTTCAGTGTATAGCAACCACCTCAGCACAGACGCGGATGCCAGCCTCGAAGGATTTGCAGGTCATCAGGTAGGCGCTCTTGCCAGCCCTCGTGCGAACACCGACTTGGTGGCGTGTCCAATAGACCTCCAGCATGTAATCCTTCTGATGTACCACGAAGCGCCTCAATTTTCACAAACAAGAGAAAGATACTTTTGCAGCAGGGACAGACCCATGCATTCTCTACATATGCAAATCAAACGGCTCCCTCAGATCGGTCCTCTGCTCCTTGGTGGGGCCACGCTGGGCCTCGGATGGCTCAGCCCTGGGCTCGGCCGAGGCAGCCAAGGGATCAACCACCGGCTCATCCACAGGCTCAATCTGAGCCTCTGCCACAACCTTCCTGGGCTGCTTGCTTTCAGGCAAGTCCTCTGTCATCTTTGCTGCTGGCCTTTTCATGCAAGCCTTTTTTTTGGGAGCCTTCATCACAGGTGCCGCCGGAGGGGTCTCCATTGCTACCGGCGCCTCTGCATGGGGCGGAGTTTCCACAGGCAAGTCGTCCCCACTGCCACTGGAATTATTGGAAGGAACACGACCTCGGCCACCACGACCGCCACGCCCACGGCCTCTGCCTCTGCCACGTCCTTCCTGCCTCATCTGCTGTCGCAAAGCCAGCTGATCGGCATGACTCACCAGGGCATCTGGGTGAGAAGGGGATGGCCTCTCACCGGTCTTGTTCCAATGATCGGCTGCGTCCTCCCCAGCATCTTCCAACTCCTTGAGCAACTGAGGGCTGAAACCTGGTTTTGCCCACGGATGCAAAGATGTGGAACGGCCCTGCTTCCACAACAGGAACTCCTCGTCGAAAGTCTTTGCCAAGGACCTGTTGAGAGGAGGCGGTGGCTTCAAATCGAAGAGTTGCCGCTTCTCTTCTGCTGGAGGCGGCTTCAGGCGATCCGCAAGCACAGCAGCAGGGCTAGCAGCTGCAGCTGTAGACGCCTGTGCAACCACTGCCTGCACATCCTGGGGGCTGTAATACTCCGTTGGGGATCGTCCTGCAGGCATGGGTGACCTGGGCCCATGCATGTATACATGCATCTGTGGATGGGAGGAAGTATGCAAGGATGGATGGGCATATAACTGCAAGAACATGTAAATATATTTGTGCATGTGTATGCGTATGTGTGTGTGTCTATATAGGAGTATGATACAACAAGGTGTTGTAAAGACATAAAGATATTTATTACCACATAGCTCTATATGTAGATATCCTGTATAGATGGACCCATGAACGTGTATGTATTTGCCTTTGTGTCTGTATGTCTGTATAGTCTGTATGTAGGTATGTATGTAGGTATGTATGATATAGGTATGTATATGTATGTACATGTATGTATATGTATATGTATATGTATATGTATATGTATATGTATATGTATATGTATATGTATATGTATATGTATATGTATATTTTTATATGTATATATGTATGTGTGCCATTATGTATGTATATATGTATGTATATGTATGTATGTATCTAGGTATGTATGTGTATATGTATATGTACATGTCTATGTCCATGTCTATGTCTATGCGTATGTGTATGTGTATGTGTATATATGTATATGTATATGTATATGTATATGTATATGTATATGTGCATGTGCATGTGCATGTGTATGTGTATGTGTATGTGTATGTTTATGTGTATGCGTATGTGTATGTGTATGTGTATGTGTATGTGTCTATGTATGTGTATGTATATGTATGTATGTAGCACATATGCC